TAATACACTAGTTCTATATTATTCATAGAAATATAATGGGAGCAATATATGTGATTTAAATTTCCTAGTTACTACATTTTAAAAAGTAAAAGGTGATAAATTAATTTAATTATATCTCTTTTTTAATCAAATATATTTAAAATATCATTTTAACATGTAACCAATGGTTTTCAATTACTAATGGAATTTAATTTTTTTGTACTGGGTCTTCAAACTCTCAAGAGGAATTACACACCTTCTACATGCTCAACAATCACATGAAGCTCAAGAACAAAGATAACTCACTGCCACTCAGTCATTGTAACTCACAGGGACCCTATAGGACAGTGCAGAACTTCCCTTGTGGGCTTCCAAAGCTGTAAATCTTCACTTGGTGAAATTCCCATCAAATCAGCTATAAAATATGAGCAAAAAAGTTTAGTTATGCCCTATTACACAAATATGTTTGTGTGTATACACACACACATACACACAGTCATTCCACATGATTAATTGTAACATGATTTCTATCTGACATAAATATTTGGCTTAAATACATTCTGTATTGTGATCACAGTTAACCGAGCATATAGAAAGCAATTTTATTCAGAATCTCAATGGGGTTTTTCGCTTTGGTGAAAAAGAGATTGTACATACAAGTAGTAGAATAGGGTAAAGAGTGGAAGTTACTCAGGATTAGGAACATGAAACTTGACTTCTAAAATCAGTTCTCTATAAATGTACTAGGCTACTGGGGAAACCTTTGCCATTTAACCTCTTCCTCAAACCAACCAAATCTACTGCCATCAAGTCAATTCTGAGTCATAAAGCCCCTAAGTAGTGTTTCTGAGGCTGAAAATCATTACAGGAGCAGATAACCTCAACTCTCTCCTCAGAGAGGCTGGTGGCCTTGAACCACTAACTTTTTAGGATGTTACTAATCTTACTTGTAGATTTGGAAAGGGTGGAGGAGAAGTTGCTGTTGGATAGTTGCTGTTGCAACTTTTCCACCAATTTTTTCCATGGCTCAGATTATATATAAGTAGTATTTTTAGATATTATAGTACATTTTCTCTTGGTTAACCTATCATACTCACAGTGAAAAAAAGAAAAAGACCCCACAACTTTGTATTTTATATTTTACAATGATGTAAATGTGGAAATGGGGAAAGTGTTTTAAATGACAAAGCAAGTTAAGTTGTGGTTAGGTCCAAGAAAACTGAGTGGACTCAAATGGAGGGACAAATTGTGAGACTTGGGTAGGACGGGGGTAGCGTTTCGTTCTGCCATGTGAGTCTCTCTGAGTCCAAACAGACTCGCAGGCACCTAACAACAACAGCAACAACAAAAACTGTATTATTGTTTAAAGTGATAAAGTCAAATGGCGTGGGGAAAAAGAATTCTCAATCAGAAGAGCAGGGTTCTAGTCTCAATCCTATATTATTTTGTACAAAGCTGTCTCTATTTTGTACAAAGTACAACATCTTGTGATTTCATACAAATCACAACATCTCTGATCAATTCTTCTATAAGATGATGTTAACTTGCTCCACAGGGTCAGTGTGTGAATCATCAGAAATAAGATACCAGTACTTGAAAACAATTTTGAGAAGTTGTGCTAATCCCAGGCATAATAAGATAATAATGTATCAGGAGCTATCTTTATTAGGCTTTTCATAAACAAATGTTGTAAACTAGCTGGTTCCTGGAAAAAGTGACTTCCTAGATGACTTTTAAAAAGAACATGTCAAAGAATTATATAACAAGCATAATGTGTCCTCTACCTAGAATGTCAACACTTTGTGCCACATTTGCTGCAGATTTTATCAAATATGACAGTTTCAGATAAAGTCCCCTTCAGAGCTTTCTGATCCATTCCACAATTTATAAAATTATATCCATTAATAATAACTGATTTGTTTTCAAAAATCACATGCATTGTAAAAAAATTATTCTCATCTGAGACGGTTTTCACTTTTTGTTTCTGCAATCTAGCCATGTTCATTTTACCATGTGTTGAATAGTAATTCATACATCACATTTATTCATTAAAAAGTACTTATTTTTGCCCAGAAAATATTTACTGGGCTATAAAACAGACTCAGAAGAAATGCATGTTAAGTTCCTTTCAACTTTTAGCTTTCTTTTCTCTCTGAAACGTTATCCACTGGTAAAACCAGAACAAAAGAAGGAAACCAAACTCACTGCCATCAAGTCAATGCCGACTCTTGCCAACTCCATGGGACAGGGTAAACGGCACCTGTGAATTTCTGAGATTGTATCTCTTCCAGGGAGTAGAAAGCCCTGTCTTTCTCCCATCCAGTGGTAAAGAGGCACACTCCTATATTGCTGTGGCATTACAAATTGGCACATCAAAACACAATACCGTTAGTCCACGACGACTCATAGCGACCCTATGTAAGGCTTCCAAAGCCATAGATCTTTGCCGGAGCAGAGCTTCATCTTTCTCCTACGGAGCGGCTGGTAAGTTGGATTAGCTCAGCTTGGAGTTAGTAGTCTAAAATTTACCTAACAGGGTCACCAGGGCTCCTTAAAAATTGGTATCGTCTTTGGAAAAATAATAATTTATTTATAATAAATATATAATTTATTAAATAATAAAATAAGAATTTTTAGAAAATGAAATGCCAATAAAGCAGTCATAGTCTTTTGCCCAGTGATTTTCTCTTATTAAGAAAAAAATTGCCAAAATTGCATAAAGCCGCTTATGTAAAATGCTGATCAAAGTATTATTTGTAATGGTGGGAAATGTCCAATAATTGTATGAGTAAATCACGGTGTGTACACTCAATTTTGAACGCTTCATAAGCAATTAGAAGTTAAGGTTTTATAAGATTTTAAGCAATAGGAGAAAATATTTACAATATAACATTAAGTTTAAACAAGACGCAAAATCTACTTACATTGTGATCACAACTTTATCAAAGTCTGCACACAGTAAATATTAAGTATACATATAACTGTTTCATAATGCATATAATAATACTTTCACAATGCAATATGGTCATAATTTTCACTATTTTAAGCAAAGAAAAAAAATGTTACTATCATCAGGTCCAAGTAATGAATTCTAATGAGTATATTTCCCAGACTTATTTTATCATCTTAAAAACACTCAGCGATAAGCATTTTCTTTTTGGAATGCAATTTGATAATCATTAGAATGCCTATCTTCAGAATGAAGGGCAAGATTACCAATTACAGGTTGGTTGATTGCACTGACAAGCCCAGGCCAAAAAACTACTCAATTTCCACAAAGAAAGTTGGAAGATGATTTTTCAATTACTGTCCCTAAGTGAAAAGGATTGTCTTCTGCTTTTACTTGACAAAAAACGAACATTTTGTCACCATGGACTATCAAATTCAAATGAAAACGTGTTCGTCTAACGTCGATTTATTTCCAGCTTCTCGGCACACACAAACATGTTTTGCTTTTTTCCTTCCCAGTCAATAAACATTTGCAGCGACACAGGTACGAGTTTTGCACAGACTCAAGCAAGCCCACGAGGGACACCAGCAGGGGGCGAAATACAATAGGAATAAATTTGACAAACTATGGCTTTTCCTTTGACTTTCGTGCAGGAGCCGTAACAAAAACTCCAGGACCCTCACAAAGCCACTAGGTGCTCCAATGTAAAGCGATAGCGTATCTTGCAACGACAGAGTTGTAGAGACCACTGTGCGTCGGTTTGAGCTCTCTCCCAGTGAATTTATCCCGACGGTCGCAGAGGCGGGATAAGCAGAGATGAACTGCTATTGTCCTCATCCTTCTCCTGATTCGCGGAATTCCTCCACTCAGGGGGCTGGCCCGGTCTCTCTGGGGGAAGGTGTGTTTACCATCCCTGTGTGGTTTGTTTATATTTGTGAGCTGCTGGGCTCTGCTGTTTTGGAAAGACTTTAAATGATTCAAATGGCCGGTGCAGGTTAGGAAAACAGATCAAATGCAGCGGCCGGTAGGCTCCGTCGTCCAGGACGATTAGCAATAATCCTCGGCGCCCGGTGACCTCGTCTGACGTCCCGGTGACCGGTGCTCGGAGCGATGTTCACGATGCAGGGGGAAAGGTTGCAAACTAGCAGAAGAGCGAATGCTTCGACTGATAGATCCTTTATTTGGACCTCTGTTAGAGAATGCATTTAAATAGAGAAGTTGGTACGGCTTCTTTGTCTCATCGGCTATTTCGCAGCATAAGTGATGAAAAATAACCGCCGGCTTCCTTAGCGAAGTGTCAGGTGTTTGTCGGCGATGGTCCATTCGCCGGCCGCTTTCCCTTCGGCTTCCCGTCTTAAGTTTGCCTTGTAACCGCAACCCTTCCTTTGTTGCTTACGACTGTCCGCCGAGATGCTCGTTTAAGTTTTTTGTTTTCTTTTAAAAGGAAAAGAGTTAAGACTGTAAATAAAAAGTAGTTTTTACGGGGCGGAAAAAAAAAAAGGCTAACTGACTAAAGCTCTCTGGGAGGTTTTTGGACGGAGAAGAGGATATGGTTCTGTATTTCAAAAACCTTAAAAATGTTATTTAGAAAGGGAGCGATTTCCTCGCGTCCTGAGAGGAGCCGTTTCCACCGGCTGAGAGAAGCACCTGTCACTCGCCCGGAGCGCGGCTCCGGCTGGCGGCCGAGAGCGGGCCGACGTCCTCCCCCTGCCCCCACCCACCTCAGGGCTCGGTGACTCGCGGGGAAGTAAAAAAGGGCGGCTTGCCCACACTCAAAATGGCGGCCGGCGCGCTGCGCCACGACGCCTGCGCAGGGATAAGCGGCTGTGACACGAATTCCCCCGGACTGTCCTCCCCGCCCCCCGCCAGCACCACTAGCGCCCGGCCCCGACCCAGCCACCTGCGCCCGGAAGTGACGTGTCGGCGGCAGCGGTTCCCCCGCTGCATGATGGGAGAGTGTGTGGAGTGGGCGGGGGGTCTCCGCGGAGGAGGAGGAGGAGGAAGAGGTGGCGGCGGCGGCGGCGGCGGAAGAGGGCGGAGGGTAGTGGGATGGGGGGTCCCGCGGCAGCGCCGAAACTCCGGGTTAGCGGCCATGGAGCTCGTTGGCTGACAGGGCTGTGAACAGCCTGCTTCCCGCTCTCTCCAACTCCGCCTCGGAATAGCCGGTCCTTCCCCGGGGAGCCCGTTCCTCCCCGGGCCCCTGAGCCATGCCCATCGCGGCCGCCCGGGACGAGCCAGGTAAGCGCCACCGCTCGGCTCCTCCTGCCGCGCGCCGCCGAGA